TTATGAAATATTTTACCACAATTTTTTTAAAATTAAGGTGTAATATACCAAAAACCATTGAATTGTACATTTTAAATAAGTGAATTGTATGGTATATGAATTATATAGCTCAATAAAGCTGTTTTCTTTTAATAGGATAAAAAAACTTAACAAAATGAACTTGAAAATGAAGAGACATACTCTTAAAGAACTCTTGTATCAAAAAGAAATTAAAAGGGAAATAACACAACACTTAGCAGCAATAAGGAAAATATCATATCAGCACCCTGGAACACAATGAAAGGTGTATGCAGAGAAAAGTGCTGCCTTAGAGGCATTCGCTATGAAAGAAGAAAGATGAAAAATGGAATAAATAAAGGATGAAAAATAGAGTGTGGGGATTTGGCAGAGATGGCACCATGTTCCTCAAAACCCAGGTGCTTTTCCTACCAGATGCCCAAAAGTGTGGGCCCCTATGTACATATTTGCATGTATTTTTTTGGTGGGAATTTTTTAACAGAACATTAAACAGATGAAAATATTGAAAACCTGTAAAGGAATATAAATTATAAATTGTAAATTAAAACTCACAACAATATTTTTTAAAGTTTAAACATTTCATTTATACACAAGACAGAATTTATTAGAATTTTACCTTCCTGGGTTTAAGGGAAGAAAACTCATCAATAACACTTTCAAAATCTACTCAGTTTTTTGGAGTCCCTTTAAATCTTCAGTTTTAGGCAAGTGCCTCACCCTAATCCTAGCCCCACACCTAAATATATTTCCCAGCCATTCTTACAGCTAGGTGGCAGTTTTACAACTAATTTCTGGTCAATGCAGTCTGGGAAGAAGTGATATAATTTCATGAAAATTGGTGTCATTTATTATCATGATTTTTAAAGCAGCACTTTACAAGACCTAAAGGAGCTAGAGGAGATGAAGTTGCAAGACAGAAGGAGCCTGGGCCCCGAATCACCGACTGGAGGAGAGATGCCCAGGAGAGCCTGGACCAGGCGCATCCACACTGGAATGTTACAGGATCCAGAACTGGACTGCCATTGGGTTAAACCATGGGCATTTGGGGGCTGTTTTTTACAGCAACAGAGATCTGCTTTATCCTGTGCATGTCAGGTCCAAGGCTTAAAAAATATAATACGCAATTTCTTTGGTTGGCAAGACACCCCTGTTCTCCCTACTACATTTTCCAGTCTATACTGTGGCCCTGCTCTCCTGCACCAGGGGTTTTCAGAAGCAAATAGAAAAAGAGATGCTGAACACTTCACTCCTTAAATCTACCTCACAACTGGCCACAGCAAATTCAAACTCTGTGGTGCCTTGTCTGGTCATGGAGCAGGGTGGTTCTGGGTGGACACAGATGGTTGTCTCACTGGAAGAGAGCTTAAGAAAGGGAGTATTTATAGAGGAAGTGGACAGGTATAGCAACACTGTGAGCAACAATGAGGCAGCCCAAGGCCAGTCCAGCAGGTCTGCAGTTTCCAGGTCAGAGTCCAGAGAGGAAGGAAAGGGAGCAGTGCCCTTTATGCAGAGGGTGTGACTGCACCACCCCTAAATCCAGGCAAGACGGGTCCTCCCTGACTCCAGGTTCCAGACGTCTTGAACATAAACATACAAGTGAATTTATGAAAGATGTGTGAACATCTGGGTTACCTGGACTCCAACACCCAGTGCTGGCCCAGCACAATCTGTAACCTGTGAAGAGGGACCTCAGACATAACACCATTCCAGACCTGGAGAAAAGGGGTTTTGCATAACAAGTCATTATTGCCTTGGCGTGTCAAACATCCACTTTCTCTCTTCTCTTCCTGTGCCAATTCATGGTTCCAAAAATACAAATTACTATGCTATGCATAGCAGTTGCGAATGGCAGCTGCAGAACTTTAAACAATTCTTAGTAATATCCATATGTGTATATTAGATATATATGCATATATATATGGGTTCGACATATAAAGAATGAAGCAAGCTACCGATGTTGCTTTAAAAAGTAGTTAAAAGCACAATATTAAGCGATAACAATTTAGATCACCAAATTAAGACATTTTGTAATATTTTCTACCATAATGATAACTTCTGGTAGTGACTCCCACCACAACACATGAATGTGTTGTATAAAATGCATGATATTTCCAAATCTAAGTACTGCTTTAAGACCTCAGAACTACAGTGACTCAAGAAAGGTGGTCCAGCTGGACATTACTGTCAATAGAAAATGAATTATATGAAAATCATGATTATAACAGTGTGTTTGGAGATTTTACTGGGAAAAGGTAAAAAAAATAATTTTACAACAAAAATGTGTAATCATTTAAAAGTCCTGCAATATCACCAGCCCATTAACAGACCATCCAGACTTGTGCTATAATAATTAACACAGTTGTCTTTATTTTTCTAACTTTCATTCCCATAAAAACACATATTTATCAATTTTGTATTCTGAAGGTCTCCTTCTCTGGGCAGAGAGGTATTATTTAGCAGATTATGAGCTTGACTGATAAATTTTAAATATTGTGACATGAGGAGTGTGGGCCCCTGGTTGTGATCTAACCCAGGGTCCCACGGCCGTTAGGGACAACCAGAGTGTCCACAGGAAGGTGGCCCCCGGCAGTGACCCCACCAGGTGTGGACCGGGAGATGCCCCTTGGCAACCTCCTCCCCTCCTGACCTCTGACTATGATCCTGCCTCTGCTCCACTGACTTAGGAAGGAGGCGTCAGTGTATCACCCTAGGAGAGAGCAGGGGGACCAACCCATGGGAGAAAAAATGGGCCACATTATCTCCCCAGGTCCAACAGGAGGACTTGCACCCCACTTTGCGCAAGGAAGCCCCACTCTGAGTAACTCCTGGGTGATCTGGGGTCTTCTCTGCCTTTACAAGCAAAATTCACCAATTTGTACTGAGGAACACCACTTTTTGCTTGTGCTGAGTAATTAATTTCCTACAGAGATCACCGTTTAACAAAGTCCCTGACAGATTAGGTACAGAGACAAGGATCACGGGTGTTCAGACATCACCCGGCCTCCGGAGGAGCCTCTTTCTCCTTTAGTCCCTCCCATGAGGTCTCCAGCCTCACTCACTCACTTCACACACAAACTCCCTCCCTCCCTTCTCTCAGGGGTCTCATTCAGGGTTACATGCTGGTGTTGTCTGCCTTTCAGTGTTGACTGTTCCCATCATGATTTTTATTTACCCTTCAGGGAGCTGCCCTGGAGCCATGGACCCACTCTGCGAACTGGGAATCTAATAAAGCCAGTCAAGGTAGACAGGTGAGGTAGAGACTGAGTGATGCATCCACAAGCCCCAGATGCCCAGGATGCTGGAGGCCCCAAAAGCTGCAAGAGGCAGGAAGGATCCTGCCTGGAGCCTTCACAGAGTGGGACTCTGCTTCCCAGGTCTCAGCCCTCTGCTCACCTCCTAGCAGCTCAGTCAGCATCGGTCAGATTGAGACCAGGAGCTGACATGCAGCCCCGTGGCACCACAAGGAGGCTGACAGGTGAGGACATCACAGTCACGCGACCAATGAAACTTGTCGTTATAACAGAGGCAGAAACTACAGGTGGCGGCCCTGGGCTCAGACTGCTGGGACAAATGACATCCCTCCCTCACTTTTCTCATCTGTAGAGTGGGGCCATAACACACTCACCCCCTCCACTGCAGGGTGTGAGCGAGGACAGGAGGTGACACAGACACTGCACAGGCCTGGGAAGTTGTATGGATTGTCATCTTCTGACATGACCTGTACAACCCTCCCCATCTTCCCAGAACTCTGCTCAGCACGGAAGGCCCAGCTCTCTGCCGGTGACGGGGACCCGAAGCTCCCTGAGCCAGGGCCCAGTCAGTCCCCAGGCACCTCCCTGGGAGGCTGGAGGACAACACAGAGAGGGGCCCTTGGCTACTAAGGGCCCGGAGCAGCGCCAACTGCCGCCCCTGCTGGGACGTGGTCGGGAGCCCGTTCTCTGGGCTCAGACCCAACCGCAGGTTTACCGGCAACATGACCTCGGCGAAGTTATAACTCACTCAGGACCTCAGTTTCCTCTTGCTTAAAACGGCACTGTGACACACCCTGTCTACGACGTCCTGGGGATTGGGGGAGTCAAATGCTATTTAAAAATATCTCCTGCGTTTGCTTTAATCAGGTTTGGTAAGATGCAGACCAGAAATGACAGGCATGAAGGAAGCAGTTCCTACTCTCAGATCCTGAGAAATAGCAGGCCAGGTGCTCCACGCAAGGCCACATGGGGGGCCCAGGGCGGTCAGGAGGTGGAGTGAGGAGGCAGAAACATGGGCCGGGCCTTCAGTGTAGTTTCTGTGGGGAGGCAAGGTGGGGTGAGCTGTGGAGGACTGGCTAGCTGGGGAGAGTTCAGCAGGCTCTGGAGATGAGGGGCTGTGTAGCTGTCTGGTGCCTGCCCTGGATGAACAGGGCAGAAGAATATTGGCCTCTTGGAGCAGAAGAGACAGGTAGATGGGGTGGTGTGGAGTGTGGGCTCTCACTGGTTGTTTCCAAATGAAAGGCCTGCTCCTGGGCAGGGGGACTGCCATCTCTAAGAACTGATCAGCCCTGGAGGGCAGCCTCTCCCTGGTCAGCAAGGCCCTGAATGTCAGAGCACCGAGAATGGAGCCAGTAAGAAATCATGGTCAAAACAATAGCAAAGCTCCCAACACACAGTAAGTGGGAGGTGTCACCCCACGTGTTTCAGTGAATTTGGGGGGCCTGAGTGGGCTGGGCTCCAATTCCTAGAGGGCTCACTGCATGCCTGCCCCCAGCCAGGATAGGACCAACCCTCTCAGGGGCCCTCCTGCAAATGGAAAACAAGAGGAAGTGCAGAATGCTGAGGTCAGTGGAGGCACTCAGCAGGGGGCGGGGAGGGCTGACACCAAGACCTGGTCCCTCTTCCCTCGTCCCCTCCAGAGAACCGCCTGTCACCGTCCCCTGCCCCATGTGGCCTCTGCTCACATCCCTGCTGTCTTTGCTCCCCAGACCTTGATAAGTGGCCCCCTGAATGAGGCAGGATGAACGCCAGTCCAGGAAGCGCTTTGGGGAGGAGGTGGGGGGGACTGTTGGGAGGGGGATGGGCAGTCGTTTGGGTTAACCCCAAGCTTACAAGGCACACAGGCCTGAGCAGGGTCCAAACTCCAGACCCGCCAAGTGGAGGCCAGTCAGGGTGTGTGAGGGGACCTCTCTGAGCCTCAAACTCCTCTGTTATGCAGGAATAAAATCCTGATCTCACAGGACTGATGTGCAAAGTAAAGGAAGCCCAGCAGGCAGGCCCTCACTCAAAGTGATTGTCCTGCCCCCAGGGCACTGGTTCTCAAAGGCCAGCAGGGCTGGGTGGGCCCGAGAATTCACATGTTCACAAGTTCCCAGGTGACACAGACCCTGCTGGGAGTGCTATGACCAACTGTTTACAAATATTTTCTCCATGTTTGTAGCTTACCATTTTATTTTCCTGACAGGAGCTTTTGAAGACTGTAAGTTAATTCTGATGAACTCTAGTTTATCAGTATTTTCCTTTCACAGAGCGTGCATTTGGTGTTAAATCTCAGAAGTCTTCATGCAACCTTAGGTCACAAAGATTTTCTCCATGTTCTTTTCTAGACTCATACAATCATATTCTCAAAATCTGGTCCACAACACAGCCCTCACTGTCCCGCTCTGACCACAGTGCTCAGGCCCCTCGCTGGGCTCTGGGGCTGCAGGTAGGATCTGCCCGTCTCTGAATCACACAACTACAGGTCCTCCTCCTCCCAGAAGGCCCTCTGTGAGTAGGGCCTCAGCTAGAGGCTGATTCCCAGGCCTCTCATTCCTGTTGAGGGAGGAAGGATGAACTGGCCCCTAAGCAGAAATGATTCCCTACAATTCCTGGCCGCAGGGAGAGATCCCCCTGGGCCCAGGGGCCTGATGGTGCCTTGAAAAATGCAGGTTGCCCCCAGGGAGACACCTGGGGAAGCAGTGGGGCCTGGGGCACCTGGACAGCAGGGGCTCTGCTAAAGTCCCCCGAGCCCATTTCCTGGGGCCCAGCACCCTCCTCAGGGAAACTGGCAAGGAGACAGTCAGCCAGGTGCTGGGAGGCAAGGAACCCAGGTGTCACCCCTGAGCAGAGCAGGCCCCCCTCTTGAGGCCCTGGGAGATGTCAATGGGTTCCTTGTCCTCTCTTCTGCCCCCCTCTCCAGCTGTTACCAATCCTCTCCAGCACCTTTTACAGCCCATGACAATAGAGCCAATAAGAAACTGTGAGACATCTATCTGTGCCTCAGTTTGGCTGCCAGGCTGGCCCTGGAGAAGTGTGGAAACGCTGGATTGGAGCCAAAACTGACAAGAGGAGAAAGGAAGTCCAACAGCTTGCTTCCACCTCCAGACGCAGAGGCTGCTTCCTCTGATGAAGTCGCATCTGCCGCCCACACTGTCAGCTCAGTACACCCGGGCCCACCTCCCCCTGGGAGCAGCAGCCTCCTGCAGTCACCAAGGCCACGGCCCCCAGGCTCTCACCCCAAATGCCACCAGTTACCAGCTGGCAGTGCCCTCCACCGGGGTTAGCTCCGGGGACTAGTGCCTGCTCAGAATCTTCATTTTCCCCTCTGTCCAGGGAAGGTTCTGGAATAGGCAGGGCTCTCACAGCTGTGGAGGGAATCACCAAGGAGTATTATAAACACCCAGAGAATTGGTCACCCCCAGAACTCTGCACTTGGGAGCCAAGCCCGGAGACTGTGTGGTGCATCCAGGCAGAAGCATCCAGAAGGAGCAGAAGGCTGTGTGCACTCAGTGACTCTGAAGTCCCAGTCCTGGACCTGCCACTGGAGAGTATTGTGACACTGGCTTCTCCTCTGTGAGTGGAGGACAGAGGGCCCTGCGGATCCCATCCTGCATCCTGTGGAGCAGGCCTGGCCTCCAGGGCCCACTCTGGGTGGGTGGGATGAGCTCACCCTCACCTCCTAACCTCAGGGAGGGTGTAAGACTGCACAAGGGGGCCCCCCGGGTGGAAGGGGCCTTGTGGGCCTGGTTCTGCAGGGGAAGGACTGGGGGGCAGCCCCTGATGGGAGGGGAGGGGCCAAGAGCAGGCTGTGTGCCCCTGGGGCTGGGGCTGGGGGCTTCTGACCACCCACCCCCTCCTCCTTCTCTAAGGGGTTGTAGCTGGGCAGACACTGCCGGCCGCCTTTCCTCCTGAACGATCCTGAGCAGGTCCCGCTGCCACCCCTTCCCCTGGGAGGAGAGACACAGAGGCCAGGAGATACTCAGGAACCAGAGAGAAGGAGATGGGCGGACTCTGAGGCCTTGGAGACGTGGAGGGTGCTGGAGAGCTCCAGCCGGCCAAGGTCAGGACCACAGCCCTTGGTATGAGGTGGGGGCTGGGCCCCTGCTGATGCCGGTGGGGTTCTTGTTCACAAAGCCGAAGAATGAGCTTCACAAACACCCAAGGTAGGAGAGCAAGGTACAGGCTTTTATTTAGAGATAAAGTGAGAGGACAGAGCTCCCGGCTCGCGCCAGGAGGGGACAAGAGAGTCCGCAGTGGTACATTATCTAGGGGGTTTTATAGGCAGTTGAGGACTTTTCGAGAACATGAAAAAAACTTAGGGGTGTGGACTTGCATCACCTGCCCTGCCCTCAAAGTGGGCTGCGCTATTGTCTGTCTGCTAGGGCTCTTTACAGTGAAGTCACGGGTCATGCTGAGATACCCTTCTTTATTTGCTGTTATTTGCTGAACACTCAAACATTCCAGGCCAAGTTGCTCCTGGCCTTTTGACCTTTAACTGATCTCACTGAAAACTTCTATATTCTTAGTCTGGTATCTTTCCCTCGAGAATTAGTATGACCTTGACTTTGCATAATGCTTAACACAGAGTTTCAGTAGGGACTTCTTTGCCCATTGTTACATTGCTCTTGACTGTAAATATTCTGCCCTGCATTTCCCAGAGGCCCTCGCCCTACTCTGACTACACCCACTGTCCCTGTCTCACTGCCAGGGCCCTCTGGGCCCTGACCACAAGGGAGGTCCTTTTGCAATACAGGGAAAGAAGAAGCAGATTAATAAAGGAAGTGCTGGTCACCCTGGGGGTGGGCGGGTTTGGGGAAGGCCCCCACCCTCCCTCTGTCCTCTGAAGGAGCCTGATCTTCACTCCCCTGGTCCCCCAGTAGCCCCAGGTGGCCCCTCCTACGCCCCCCGCCTGACAGCACTGCACGTCCTCTCAGCCCCTGGAGGACAACCAGGCCATGGGACGGCCCCAGCTGCTGCCCCAGCTGCTGCTGCTGGCGTCTCTGCAGGCTGGTGAGTCGGGGTCCAGCCTGGATCTGCCTGGGGCCTGGGGGAGCCCCGGGAGGGCTGTGACCTGCATCTGGAGCAGGGGGACTGCTGGGGAAGCCGGCCAGGCTCCCACCCCAACACTCAAAGGGCTGGGTCACCCCAACCCCTCACCCTCCTCCCACCCCAAGCCTGGAGAGGGCGACACCCAGGCCAGAGGGCCAGTCCTGCCGTGTGTCACACTAGTGCCCGTGGTGAGGGTGCCAGACAGG